CCCCCCCCCCCCAAAGCAGAAATAGCAATTTCGAGATTTAAAACCCTGCTTGCAATGAAGAGATTTTCGACTGGACATGCCTACGTTTTCAGCTCTTCTGTTGTGCTCTGATCATCCCAGGTCAAACGATGCAGCGCTAGAATCATTCCGGATATCTCCTAACCCTAGATATGTAGATTTGTCTGTAGAGTACGTATAGAAGGTTTTAAGAAAATGAGATATATCCTCATCTCCATGGAGAGCTAGCTTTTGAAACTAAGATACACACGCAGACACGCTCTTCTCAACCTTTAATGTGTTACAGAGTGATTCTTCATTTCATACTCTTTAATATATGAGAACATATCTCTACCTTCATTAATACCAGCAATGCCTATCTTCCAAAAAAAATGCTGCTGGACACGTTTTACGTGTTTGTTTTCATTTTGAGAATATCAATTTCTGTTGTAATATGATACTGTACTCTTTATTTTTTAGATGTGTTTTTTAGGGATAAAGAATATTGATTGCTTTGTGAATAATAATCTGAGGCCAGGCAAAAGGGCTTTAAGAAAATAACTACAAACAAATATATTTTAAATAATAGATAGAAATCCGACTTCTAATTACTAGTACAAAGCAAATTTGACTAGGGACCAACCAATGACAGCGTTTGAAACAATAAAATAGAGAGGAAAGATTTCTCGATCTTCACACACACGTTTCCCGAGCCACTGAACGTCTTTTGAAAAAAATAGGAGAGTTTTTTAATAAATTATATTAATCTATTTTTAAATTTAAAATAATTAACTCTTAATTAATCATATGTCAATGGTTCATCTCGTTTTACTTTTGGGAGTTTTGAACCTCACCGGTTTGTTTATGTACACTAAAATCCACACGATAGAAAGGAGGAAGTTTCCAGTATCTCACCCTTATAAACTGCAACCAATACAACGAGGATAATTTCATTCTTGTCCTTACTTTCATGTTTATTTTTGGTTTTGCCCTGTTTTTTTTCATTTTTACCTTTGTTTTTTCTAAAGGAAGCCAAATTATGCCTCTACTTTGGATAAACAGGCCAACGATGTCAAAGTTATTGGTGAAAGGACATCTATATCCTTACTTCCGGTTGCACAATTATCTCTCTACTTTTTTCATTAATTGTGTTTTTTCCTCCATGTCGTACATGCATATTGCAATTTGATTTTTACGACGATGTTTAAAATTAAATGATTTTTGACTAACTTTAATGAATATAACAATTTTGATAGAATATCAATAAAATTTTGTGACAAATTTGACACGATTTTGTCACAGGTTTGATATCATTTTGACATAATTTGGACAGAATTTTGACAGCATTTTCACATCTTTTTACGCAACTAGCAGTTGTCACAGCTCTTCCTGTGCAACCTGCTCGCTACCGAGCCAAGCCATTAGCCGCAGGGTCACCGCCATGGCAACCTGTACAGTTCATTGCCATGATGGCCAGGTCCCCGTCGCCTCGCCGGGTGGCTAATCACCGCGGCAACATGTGGCGGATTAGAACTATCCCTCGTCGAAAGATAGAATGCTAGCTTCATTCCTGATGGCTCCTATTCCTAACTGGAGTTGGCTTTATTCACTACTAGAGATTACTCATCTTTTATCTAGTGCCCCAGATCATAAAAATATCGGATGTATCAATAACCGGTACTAAAAACTCTTTAATACCGGTTCTAAAAACCCAAGTCCCAAAAAATATCTAAAGATCACCGGTTGGTGACCGGGACTAAAGATTGTCCCAGTTCGTGTTATCAACCGACACTAAAAATGTATTTTTAGTATCGGTTGGTGTTACCAATCGGTGCTAAAAATGTCTCTAGTGTTAGTTTAAAAAGAATGCATCACTATCCATCCAAGTTAGATGTGTGTAGTAGGTGTGATGGTAGCACGTGTAAGGGTTGTGGTGAGAGATTTTGAGTTTAAATCCCCTCACATCCCACATTTTTTTTACTTAGTATATAAATTTAGTACCGGTTTCTTCAACCGGTACTTAAAAAAAATCAAGAACTCTCGATTCCTACAATCAAAATTAATAGGGGTTGAGAACCGATACATGAGATCATATCTGTCCAAGTGATCATTGTCATGATTTGTCGTATACACACTTATAATATAGGTTGTGTATATATACCTTTAAGGTTTGGAGGTTGGTAGTTTGAAAAAAAAAATAAGATCTCCATGCATAGAGACCTAATGAAAATAAGATATATGGACACTCTTCTCAGACTTTTATATGTCCTCTATGTTGTTGTTATTACGGAAGACTTCTTTGTCTTCTCGTACTTGAAACTTTTTATGGGTGCATTAAAGAATTCAAAATTTTAAGATATCATTTTAGAAGTGATGAGTAAAGAAAATTAATTAACAACGTGGTTTTGTGAAACTCAAGTTCCATAATACTAATACACAAGGTCATGTGCAATATAGGACTATAATATCTGGGTTACATGAAATTCACTCTGTATTTTACATAAATTCTAGTAATTCTTTTTTCTTGTTTGTTTACAAACTTTCGTTATCCAAATTTTCCTCTTGGACCATATAGTTGTTTTTGGCTATTTCGAAAAGGATCGAAGCACGGTAATCTTAGCCATTTCCAAGAAAACTGACTTGCGTACTTGATATACTTTGACGGATTCAGCTCGAACAACACAAGGCTGTAACAGCGATGACATAGAACGAGCCTATGTTTCTATCCACCATTCTGCTACAACTTCAATTCCAGATAGCAGCATTGTACGTAGTTGACGACACTTCGACGTGTGTCTTTCATATTCTTCTTTTTATTTGTAGTGGATGTCTTACATGGCTAAAACCTATACATGTTTGGCACAAGCGCTATCGATCTTGGCTATGTATACCAATTTACAGAATAAAGACCGAATTTCTATCTATTATTAGAAAAACAAATGACACCGATTTCGTGAACGGAGAACTAGGGCAATTGGCACAGCTGAAACTGATTACACAGTATGTGCCAATTGCCGTTCTTCAGTTCTCCGTTTACACATATTCTCATGCAGCTGAAACTAATTTACACAGGATGGCAATATACACAGGATGTGTTAGCTGTATGATCATCTCGATCGCATACCTAATTAGTAGTAGGATGGAGTATTCAGTTAGCATTCGACTCTGATTCGACCACTTCAACGGGAACACATAGATACATAACCACTACCTGTAGAGCACAACTGCTTCTGAAATTGTATCCACTAACCTACCTTTTTTGTATATATAGAATACCTACAGAATACTTGTGTACGGCCAGGTACATCACAGAATGTCAGGATCACGCCTACCAAACTGTGGTTATGCACAATAACAGCAGATGCAGGCATGCAGCTGGAGTGAGTCATAAAAAAATAATTAAAAAAACTTCATTGAACATAAACATATATACTCAACAACACCTTGCTATTATTATCAGAAGATTCTTTTATAATGTGCTCATAAAAATAAAACCCGGGTATCTACAAAATTCATTTTTTTTAAGTAGAGTGTAATATTTAGAGATGCTCCCAATAGGATTAGTTTCGTTACGTTGTATAGACTTGTAGCTTTATCACCATGGTTCTTAAAATGAAACGATAACCGCTCGATTATCGTAATTACTCCCTCCGTCCCAAAAAAAGATAAACCCTGAGTTTCCGTGTCCAATGTTTGACCGTCCGTCTTATTTAAAAAAATTATGAAAAAAATTAAAAAGACAAGTCACGCATAAAGTATTAATAATGTTTTATCATGTAACAACAATGAAAATACTAATTATAAAAAAATTTCATATAATACGGATAGTCAAACGTTGGACACGGAAACTCAGGGTTTGTCTTTTTTTTAGACAGAGGGAGTATGCCGGTTCATATACGGTAACTGTTCAATAAACATGCTAGCTAGCTAAGATTTTTTTAAAAAACTCAGAATAAACCTGAAGTTTCTGTCGATAACCACTCTGTTACTGCAATATTCAACTAGTAGTGCTAACCAAATTATCAACCCATGTTAATTTACCTTGAGAACTATGGGGCGGTTAGTTAGCTGCAAGCTATCTATGTGCTTATTGTGGACACGGTGATGCGCAGGGAATGATCTGCCTACATATTCTTGTTCATACTGTCACAAAATACCATTAGGCCCCATTTGGATCCCTGGAATTTCGAGGAATGGATTTCTTTTCTATTCCTAATAGAGTTAAACAAAACATGGCAGTCAAACCGATAAAGCGTCTTTGATAGAATCTGTAGTTTATAAGGCAAACATGTTTAATCTAGACCATTTTTTAGGGAAAATCTAGACCAATTTTGGTATTGTAATTCACTTGGTTTTGCAACTCCATTTTAACTCTCTTTTAATTTACTTTGAATTCCCAAGCACTCGTGGAGGGTTGATTTGTTGAGGCTAAGATCCCAATACCTCTCAATCCTATAAACTGCACTCACAGAAGGTATCTTTGCATGAGTCCTACTGGGGTAGGTATCTGATCAAGCAAATGCCTATACAAGAGTTTGGCCTGAACATCATGGCCATATATATGGGGATTGGATGCTAGCAGCCACAGCAACAAAGGTGGCACTCACAGTACAAAGAGTTCAATAACAAGCCAATATATTAACATACCATTGCAGTGTGTCAATGTTTTCTTTCCATTGATATTTGATTCTCGTATTCTTTTGTCAGCCTTTTATTGAATGCCCATGTGGCATTTTGAGACAACCTTCATGTGGAAGTTAATTCTTACTTATGCATTCTCATTTAGAGAAAGTTTAATACAATAGGCTAGGCTGTGTTCTTTATTTTCCCCTCTTTCTCAACTCACTTCCCTCGTTTTCCGCGCATACACTTTTCAAACTGTTAAACGGTGTATTTTTGGTAAAAGTTTTCTATATGAAAGTTGCTTTTAAAAAAATCATATTAATCTCTTTTTCAAGTTTTTTAGGCTAATACTTAATTAATCTCACTATAATTGCGTGCTTTATTTTCCGTGTTAGGAGGTAAGGTTCCCAACCTTGCCTCCCGAATACAACCTAAAAGTACATGCCAAGTCATCTGAAGATAACTCCATATATAGATGTAATATACAATAAGTAGTTCCTAACCCAACAAACAGGATATGCGATTTATTATTAATATATTTCTCAGCTAATTTTCTCTCGGCCTCTTCTATCCCTTCTTCCTTTACAACATTGTCCATCAAAAACTCACCACCCAAAGTACCCCAGCTTGCTTGCCAATCACCACCAGCAATGTAAGTACTTCTCAAACCGGCCATCGAACTTGAGCAAACTGGCCGTCGAACTTAGCAACGTTTGGGCGGATGGAGGCTCTCTTCTGATCACTGTTCAACGAAACAAGAGTATAGTTGGGGCTAAGTTCCCGATACCTCTTAATCCTATAAATTGTACCATCACCATGCAATTGCAGTTGATAGCTAGATGACTATGCAAATGCTTTTGCAAGAGTTTGGCCTGAACATCTTGGATATATATATAGGAGCTGGGTGCGTTGTCATCACAACAAGTACGAAGAGTTCAATTTAGGAACCTACAGTAGCCATAGGTGTCAAATTAAGCTGGCTTTGAATTTGTCATTTGATTATTTTGGTATATAATTTGATAGCTTTTTTAATTTTTGAATTAATCCGTGTGTGCATGTATGGCATTTTGAGACAATATTCACATGGAAGTTAATTCTTACGTATGCATTCTCACTTAGAGGCAGAGCAAGTTCAGCTATAACAATAAGCAAAAATCGTCTGAAGATAAAGAAGAAATATAATTTACAAATATATTTATCAGCTAATTATATCTAATAGATGCATATATATAATGACATGCATGTACCTATGCTGCCAATGCCTGTGAGGTCAGTGCACAGATATCTAGTACTATATAGGAAAGTTGTTCTAGAAAATCAGATTAATCTATCTTATAATTTTTTATTAACACTTAATTAATCATATGCTAATAAGCTACCTTGTTTTTCATACAGGAAAAATGGGTTACGAACCCACATGTTCGAGCACGACCTATCTTCATACGCCCATTCTAACTGACTCTGGAGCAGCGCATGGCAGCTAACTTGTGGCCCGTACACTGCTCCTGAGAATTGTGAGGTCTTGACATGAAATTTGTTGAAGCAAAGACCGAGTTTACCCATTATCTTTAAAAAGTTAAAATATAAATGGTACGTTGTGATGCTTATGTATATAAAGACATGCAGTTTAATTTATGTGTAGGCAAGCAATTGTGTTCATTGGATAAAAATGTGAGTTACACAATGATCAGCACCCTGCATTCCTGGAAACACTGCATAGTGTTGCAATACCACTAGTGTAATTTGCCAAATTGGCATGATCAATGTCAGGTCACAATTTGGAAGCTTAAGATGCCGCTTAAGATTAAGATCTTCATGTGGTACTTACTTAAAGGGGTTATGTTAACAAAGACAATTTAGCAAGACGGAATTAGAATGGTAGTTTAAGATGTTGTTTTTGTATGAAAAATGAGAATATTCAACATCTTTTCATAGATTGCCATTATGCAAAGTTTATATGGAGAGGAATACAATATTCTTTTGGTCTATGCCCTTCTAGTAGTATATCACATATTTTTGATGGTTGGCTTTTGGGGGTGGACAAGAAAAGGAGTAAGCTTATACTTGTGGGAGCCTCTGCAATATGTTCGACTCTGTGGTTGAGCAGGAATGATTTGGTTTTTGACAAATCACCATCTATTACATATATGCAGGGAATTTTCAGGGCAACATATTGGCTCCGGTGTTGGGCTTAGCTACAAAGGTGTGATGAAGATGACAAGTTTATGAAGGTTGCATGCCGTAGGCTTGAGACGACAGTTATGCAACTTTTTGCCAATTATGGTTGGAGATTCACAAATAGACTTCAATAACATGTTCTCCTTATTTTAGATGGGTTATTTTTTATTTAAAGTGTGTGTTCTCAATGTTTTGTTGAACTACACTATTTTTTTAGTGTAACTTGTAATAATTGGCTGTAGCTCGTTTTGAGCAAAGACCGGGATATTTTATTCCATTATCTAAAAAAATTTATCCCCGCAAAAAAAATGTCAGGTCACTTGTGGCACCATGAGGTCACCCTAGCTCATCACTACACTTGCTGATCCGAGTGCCCCACAACTACAAGCCAGTAAAATTGGAGAAGATTGGTGACTTGGTGACAGATGACCATGGTTTTCAATTTTGATTTTGTCCTAAATTTTGCTCATTTTGGTTCTCCCGAAAGTTCAGAATTTTCGGCATATTTTGGATCGACCTTTTTTGAAATTTTAGCATAATTTAGCTGAATTTGACTAAATTTTGACCAAATTTGTAAAAGATTGAGAAAAACCAAAATTTTTAGCCGAGATAATCACTTGCTAGGGGGTCCGAAATTTTGAACCGAAAACGCAATCCCTGGAGACGACCTATAATGGTGGAAATCGGTCGAGAGAACGATTTGCACAACAGGGTTACCGAAAAGCAGTGGACAAAAGGAATAAATTGTGATTTATTTTAAACTGAACACAAATTACTACCAACAAAACCAAGCGTTTGAGCATAGGAGAGCATCACAACTACTAATGCAGATGATCTGTGTGCCTATGTGCCATATTTAGCTCTTCAATTGTATTCACACCGTCCAATATCAGAAGATGCAATGATAGAATCATTCTATATGTCTCCTAACCCTAATAAAAGCTAGTAAAACTGGAGAAGATTTGTGGCTTTTGGTACGGGTGACCTTGAACTGTGGAGAACGGTCAATAGAAAAACTTGCTCAACGAGGTTACCATGTGAATATCGTTTTATCTTCTTTTGTGTGTTTGCTGCTCCTGTAAAGGACTTCTTTTAAGTCTCTTCTCCTAATATGAAATGGCAGAGCTCCTGCCCGTTTCCTCGAAAAAAAATGATGGTTAACAGAAACCAAGGACTTGAGCATAGGATTGCATCAAAACTACTAATGCAGATGATCTGTGTGCCTACATTGTCATGTGTAGCTCTTCATTTGTATCCGCACCATCTCATGTCAGAAAATGGAATACTGGCATCATTCCAGATGTCTCCTAACCCTATTTAGCTTGTCATAGCACTTGTTTGTCATTCTCATTATTGGTCGCTTATTTTCTTATAACAGTATATGGTTGTCTTAAGGTGTGGTGTGGAGGGTGCAAGCTTTTACAATATGAGACATTTTGATGAAAATAAGATACATGCACACTCTTATCACTCTTTTATGTGCCCTTCAAGTTTTGCGGTTTCCACCCGATGGTTTCCTCTCTTCTAATGCTTTAATATTAAAACCTATCTGTACCTTCATTAATACAGTCTGAGCAATGCTTCTTGATCTTCCAAAAACAATGATGATAGGCACCTTTCTTGTACCATTTTTTTCTTTTTGAGATTGTTGGTTTTCAATATTACTAATAAGATGATAATATACTTTTCTTCTTTTAAAAATATCTTCTCTGACCGATTCTGAAAGAGTGTTGACTGCTCTGTGATAATGTGGTGTTAAGGTCTCTAAGATACCTACGATAAACCACAACTCGTGAGTTACAAGGAACAATGCCTAAAGTCTAATTGAGCTTCCTGAGATAGAGCAAGGAGAAGGAAGGAAATAGATCTTCTTCTCGTAGGGTCGTAAAGGGGAAATAGATCCTCTAACTTACTGCCTTCTTATAGGATTGTAAAGGGCTTTCTCACCCCAAAAGCTAGCTAATGAGGTAAGGGACTCCCCCCTAATAATATTAGATCCATTGCCTCCCACAATCTATGGGACTATTTAACAATCTCCCCCTTCACACATTGGTCTCTCTCAGTCGTTCACCGCCCTTTCACCGTACACGACGGTCCCTCAGGTATACAGGCCCCGTAGGCACCCACTGTCTAACAAGCCTTCATACACTTTGTCCCTCGGATTAGAGATGTTGAACTAGCCAGGCTTTGATACCAATTATAGTATCGTCAAGAGCCTTTCTCACCTCAAAAGCTAGCTAATGAGATGAAGAGCTTCTCCACTTATATATTAGGTCTCTTATCCTTCCACAATTAATGTGGGATTATTCAACACTTCTGACTCTAAGTAGCTAACATATGAGCTCCATAGCTCGTTGATCTACATGTCAGCGACCCATGTTTGAGAACAATAGGTCAGATGAGCCTCATCTGAGAAGGAAGGTTGTGTGCTTTAGTTAATACCGGCTGATTGAGAGATGGAACAACGAGAGTGAATTCTCTGACAAATTGGTGCCAAAATTTTGAGTTCCGTCAAACAAACTTCAGAAACTACGGTTCCGTGTTGCTCTTTATAAAAGCCTTTGTTCTTTACACACACCTTGTCGCCTCCTGGACAAAGTACATATGGCTGTTTTGGCTATTTCGAAATTACTAAAGCATGGCTATTTTTATCATTTCCACGAAAACTAACTTACTAGGTACCCCTTCATTTCAAAATATTGCAAGCATTTGATTAGATGAGACCTAATTTAGTACTAAAAATCTTAACATAGATTTGTTTAAATTTTTAATATTATGTTGTGTCTAATCCATTAATAGCTTACATTTTGAAAATTCAATCGGTTTGAAAACGAGACACAGTTGTGCTTAATTAGGATGGTAATTAAAAGGCCTGATATTTTATCCTACAAAATTTAAGGGTAGAGTTTAATATAGGGTGAGCTGACTAGGCTGTGGCGGCGATGACACGGAAAGACACAGCTGTTTGTGTGCCAAATTTTTTTTATATACGGACACACATTTACATTACAGTATTAAATATAGACTAATAATAAAATAAATTATAGATTTCGCTGGTAAACTGCGAGACGAAACTATTAAGCCTAATTAATCCGTCATTAGAAAATATTTACTGTAACACCACATTGTCAAATCATGGTGTAATTAGGCTTAAAAGATTCGTCTCGTAATTTACATGAAAACTGTGGAATTGGTTTTTTTCCATATTTAATGCTTCATGTATGTGTCCAAATATTTGATGTAATGGAAAAGTTGAAAGTTTGAAAAAGAAAGTTTAAATCTAAACACGGCCTGGGTTTATTCCCGGAGAAGCATTCTACTATTCATCACTAGCTTCGACGTCTGTCTTTCATCTTCCCTTTTTTAGTTGTACATCAGACAGATCAGTGGATGTCTTCCAGGTTTAAAAGTTAAGTAGTACGTGTTTGGCTCAAACGCCATCGATTTTGTCAACCAAGATGACGTGCTGCTTCGACGACATTAGTTTATCAGAAGATTTAGAGAACGAAAGAATGGCAATTGGATTTGCACTGCTTATAAACTAATCAATCTCATGATGTGTAATCTGTAGGCTCATCTATCGCATATTTTATTCCAGGTGGTATTTTTTACTCCAGTTCTGCCATTACATGAGATGCGATAAAACCTCGGCAAGAACAGTTGGATAACCGAAAACTGCAGAACACAATTGCCTCCGAAACTGCAATTTACAGATTTTACAGTAGTAGTGAACTGTCAGGTACTTGTTCCGTTCAAGAATAAATGTAGGGATTTCAAGATTTCTATATTTTTTGAGTAAATATGAATGAAAGTTAAATAAGCATTTGTAAATTGTTTAGTAAATATGAAGGTTAAACCAAAAGATTTTTTTATGTCACTTCAGCTGTTAAAATTTGAATTTTAAATTGCTTATATTCCTTTTCTAAGCATCTGATCAGTTTTAGAATCATTTGATAAGAATCCATAAGCCATAAGGAATCTCTATATCACGTACAAATTTAAATCCTACAAATCCTTATGTTAACAGAGGGAATATACATCACATAGGAATCTCTATATTACGTACAAATTTAAACCCTTATGTTAACAGAGGGAGTATACATCACATGATCACACCAATCGAACTGTTGTTATGGACAATAGCAGCAGATGCAGAGATGCTGCTGGTGCCAATTCATTTAAAAAAGATAAACACCTTTCATTAGAAAAAGGAAAGAACAAAAAAATATATATACTCAGCCAACAACACTCTCCAGCCATCACCACCTCACATAAGTCACATTAGCAACACTTGCTGTGGTGATCATATGGTTGGGAGCTTGGGGGCAGTAGTAGGAGCTACAAGCAAAAGCTATACATATGTGTACATTACAATGCCCCGGTTTTCTATCAGCGCCAGATTAGTCTCACGCCCATGAAAAACAGGGCATGTTGTTGTGATATGAGCCAAAAGCTGCTACTACTACTCTGTATGCGTTGTTGTGCAACTATCTTCAAACCCATGGCCTCTGGTTTTCAGGCCCAGATTGCAAGGGATGACATGGAGAGAGCGCCGAGGAACAGTGCAATGTATGCCATCACCTGCTGCCGTGTCGATCCTGTCATTTTCCCGCCAAGGAAGTCCGCGGCGATGAGATCAACCAGCGACATGTATATTAGGATGCCGGCCGACACGGAGTCGAGGATGCCCTCCACCACTAGAGCCCGTGGGCTATTGGCGTTGTAGAATGACGCCACACCGGCACCAGCTGCGATCCCAGCTGGTGTTGTGATGGCGAAGAAACATGCCATTATAGCTGCTGATAGTGTCTTGAATTGTGCCTGTGGTCAGAAGATTTGTTAGTGTGTAACTAAGTTATACTGATGAGAAAGGTTTTAGAACCACTAAGATCATCAAGAAAAATAACAATGAAGCAAAAGTATAAAAAAGGTGCTGTACTCAGCAGATAGACATCTCACTTAATTTTCTGATAGTACCCACTTGAATATTATTGGCAAAGTAGTTGGCCGTTATGAGAAGCATAGCAGTCTAATCAATTTATTTGCATTGACCAATTAAGTTTTAAGAGAAAAAAATTATAATCCCAAACTATTCATAATATTGAACTCAAATGGTTCAATTGTCATACATCAATACCTTTCAACTTCGAGAGTATTACAAAGTGGACAAATACAACAAGAATAATATTTCTGGGAATATCAAAGTCCGATTAGGGTCAGAACTCCTGCTGTCAACATCATGGCATGCTGCCAACAATTACGCTATTATGCCGGAGATAATATTGATTTTCCCCACGAATTAAAATTCTAAAAATAAAAGTTCAACTTCTTACGGTTGCTATGGAGAGTGACAGCCAATTTGAAGCTTGGAGACTTAGATTACCTAGACTACGAGACATATAGTCGTATGGTAATACCAGAGGGACCTAATAGTACCAACTAATTTGTGAACCAGATTTTTTTTATAGCAAAATTCCAATCACAAATGGTGGTAGTGAAAATAACAGGATAGCTAACTGCCTCAAACAAATTCACTGTTCTAGAAGCCACATTTTATACATCATGAAAGATGATTTGCTCAGATGGAAAATGACGTCTATGTAAAAGCCTGCATCCATACTATCAACTCTATGTTCGTCTTAAGGCTTGCAAGTTGAATGTCCCATGATAACTTTTTAAATAAAAAGGTTAATCATTTAACAGTAAATACCATCTGGACAGAGGTCAACTTGCTAGTAAAAATATAGTTGTTGCACAATAATTACAACAAACTTTAACAAGATGAGCATACGACATCTGAATCCAAATGTCACGCCTTCCCGAAATTCAAATAGGTGGACCCCATGTGCCAAAAGGCCAATGCCATATACATACAACAAACAAACAATCAAACAATCCCTGACAACAAGAACATAACATATAGTCACATGTAAAATTGTTATGTATAAACTATACTCAATTGGATTTACCACGGTTAAGCATCAATTAAATAATTTCATCAATAGAGGAAAATATGTAAATAATGAGAATTGATGCATGACGTTCTGCTGAATTTCCTCACCTGAGCAATGCATCCGCCAAGCGCGAACCCCTCAAAGAACTGGTGGAACGAGAGCGCCGCCACCAACGGCCTGATCGTGCAGGGGCTCCGTGACACCCCGAGCGACAATCCGATGATCACCGAGTGCGACACGATCCCCATCTCAAGTATCTGCAAGAAACAAATTCATCAGACATCATGCATTGCGCCAAAAAAGCATTAATGAACTCAGCCTCCAATTCAGAGAACAGATGAAACACCTGCGACACCACGACGGACCGCACTTGCGCCGGCACCTCCCCCTCACCGCCACTGCCCTCCGGTTGCGCCAACTCGTGGCCATGCCCATGCCCATGGGGGTGGCTGTGTGAGTGCGAGTGAGGTTGCAGCAGCGGCGCCTTGTTGTCGTTGTCGTCCTCGGTGACGGTGACCACGGTGATGTCATCGTCGCTAGCCGAGGAGGCGGCGAGCGCGGCGGCGGCGGCGGCCTTGACGCGTTCCGTCTCGGCCCTGTGCTTGCCCTCGTAGAACCTGGTGGCGAGGAAGTCGAGCACGAGCGTGGCGAGCGCGGCGGACATGGCGACGAACCCCGGGAAAGGGAAGCTCCGCCACGGGTGCGCGGGGAGGCAGGGGCTGGACAGCGCGTGCTCGGCGTCGTGCAGCATGTGGACGAACCCCGTGGCGAGGATGACGCCCGCGGCGAACGCCTTCGCCGCCACGAACGCGGCGCTGTCCGTGCGCAGCGCGCGCCGCTTCCGCCCCGCCAGCGGCAAACCCACCCCGACCACCCCGGCCACCAGTATCGTCGCCATGGCCACCCCCTTGAGCCTCAGCGCCGCCGCGTCGTCCCTGCACCCGGCCCCCTCCGCCTTCGCCACCTCCTCCGCGCAGCTCCCCGCCGCCAGCGACGCCGCCATCAACCCTGCACCACCCCCAAGAACACCAATCAAACACCTCGCAAGCACAAACATATTCAACCCAAATCAACCAATCTTTACCATTGCCCCGCCTCAAGAACTGCACGAACCGCTCCATCGGACACCGGCGGCGAATCCCAAGCCAACCAAAAAGTAAAAAAATGAAAGAAAATGCCCCCTCAAAGATCGCTGGTTTTACCCCCACTCTGGATTGGATTGGATTGGATTGGATTCGATGCCTCGCTTTCTTCTCACGTCACTTAAAAAAGCACCGGCCCGAGCCGAGTCGACAGCGAGGGAAGCAGCAAATCCACCCGCAATTCCGCGAGTCGCCGGAAAAAGGAAGAATGGAGAGGAGAAGTCCAAGTCGTAGGCTCGTAGGAGTAGAAAAAAGCGAGCAAGAAATATGTCGTCACGGTGGTTGCCGGCCGGTGGCGATGTGGCGGCGGCGGCGACGCCAATGTGGACGGCGGCGATGGGGTTAACTCGCCCCCGCTGCCACTGACATGTGGGCCCCACGTGGCAGCATCCGCCGTCGATCTCGGAGCGAACGGTTGGGGGATCGCGCTCTGACGGCTCGGGCCCACGTCGTGAGGAGGGGAGGCAACGTGTGCTCGCCACGCGCTCCCGGTCAAACCTGATACGCTGACCGTGTGGGGACATGGGGATGTGGGCCCGCGGTGTCAATGGGGGAGTGGGAGTGGGTAGAGGAGGGGGAGGCGTGGGGGGGGGGGACATGTGGGAAGCAAATGTCGACATAGTGTGGTGAGAGAGAAGGGACGGTGATCTGATCTGATTGGGTTGGGTGGTACTTTCCGTGTACGCGCGGGCGTGGTTGCTGGGCCCACTTTGGTTTGGGCTTTTCTGTGTGTAGCGGCTCCTGTTTTACGGCCCATGGAGTTGGAGTCGTGCTCCCCCCCGTGAATTAGTGGGCCACCTTGGTAACAACATTTTGTGGTTGTTCTGCCGTTAACCCCGCCACCAACTCAATTTTTTTTCTTTAGGCCTTATTCGGTTACGCTTTGATTTAATCTAGACCAAGAATGATAAATATAGTAAGAAATTTATAATAGATACAATGAGAGGTCGGGATTTATTCCGGACCAGAAACCAATTTACTTATGATAGGGACAATAAGAGACCGTGATTAGTTCCACACCTCTTGACCAGTTGATTGATTCCCGGTCTCTTATTGTCCCTATTATAAATAAATTAGTTCCCTGCCCAGAATAAATCTCGGTCTCCCATTGTATTTATCGTAAATTTCTTACTATACTTGTCATTTCCGGTCCGAATTAAATATAAGCGTAACCGAACAAGGTGTTAAGGAAAAATAATATGTGAGGCTGATCCACGTACCAATGATTCATGGTATGAGATTAAAGGGTCCACATGTCAATAACTAATATATACAGCAATTAAGATACAGTAATAATATGTTAATGATAATTTTTTTTGCAACGTACGAGCAATATGCTATTAACTAGTAAAGGCATCCAATATTTCAACGTCAAACAAAGTCACAGATCAAATGACGATAAAAAAAGTCACAGATCAAACTTTTTTTTCCAATCAATTGCATAAGTATCTATCCTATGTACTACATCTAGCATTTGAACCCTCCATATATAACCGTATTATCACCTTTGGCACCTAGCCATTTGTCCGCCATTTCTCTTCTTTTGACAAAATGATATTGTTTACATACACACAAGAGAAAATAATATGTATGATTGCGCTCATCTTTACACGCATTCGCTGAATGGAAAGATTCATACACTTATGACTAATTCTAAAGTTCTAAAAAAAATACTAATTCTAACACCTAAATTAATGGAACATAACAAAGACATTGTGGCCATTATAAGTTTTATACTCTGCCATGGTGAGCTACGACTAAACAAAATGACATTACACATGTTTTATTTTTTGCTAATTGTAAAACAAAATTAAATAGGGGTTTGAAACAAACAAGCATGTCCAAAAGGATTAAGTGTATTTATTTTACCCTCAACTCTTGCTCCTGATTAAATCGTCTCCCTTAATATTTTCATCCAATGTGGTGTTGGGACCCACAAGTTAATCCTCCCTTGCTCACCCTTACCTCTTCTCTCCCTACCCTCCCTGGTCTCCCTTTCTTCTCCATGGGGGACTAATTGACAGAGACCGACGAGGAAGCATAGGGTGGCGACCGTCGGTGGATGATGGAGACATACGAGGCAGCCTCGGAGAGCATGAAGATCAGCGACATCCAATGCTAGTTGGAAAAGCAGTTTGCGAGCGATAGCTCCATCACGAACCAGAGAGCGACAAACCCCACAGGGGGAGGACGCGGACATGGCAGTGAGCGGAAGCGCCAGTACGCGCATGAGGCTAGCGAGCCCCAACACGCAGTGCGGGCCGAGGAGGTCATAGACAGGGCCCATGGTGAGCTGCCCCACCAGCGTCGTGGAGAGCGAGCTCATGGCGGCTTCCGACAAGTTGGACGAGGCCAGTTCGAGCATCGACTGTCTATCCCCCTACCTTGAGATCGAGATCCACAACCGCCACTACGTCATCAAGCTCCCACGCTGCCCACTCCTGTGCCACCGCAGCCTCTCTGCCTACCTCGTTGTCATCGAGCAGCCATCGTTGTTGTGTCCAAAGCACGAGGACACTGCTCCTCCCTTACGGACTTGTTGCGGAGTCCAAATAGGGAACCTGGGGCTTCGACGCCATGGGCGACATCAATAAATAGGGTGGTGGTGAGCTAGAGAAGCTCTCCTCCAATGGGAGCTCCAGGCGTCGACGACGCTCTGCTGCCTCTTTCTGCCTTCGCCTACATTTGTGAGAGAAGAAGGGGAGAGAAAGATAGAAAGAGAGGAGGGAGGGAGATAGAAGAGAGGAGGTTAGGGAGAAGAGGAGATGGGACGAAAATCGCTAATATGTGTATCCCACGTGCTGACTTAGCAAGTCAATCGTAGTTAAACTGCCACATTAGCAGAAAATCGCTTCTAAAACATCAAAGGAGTAGATTTGCACTGGAGGCGTTATATCCTGGTTTTGCCATTAAGGGGGGCAGTTCAGCCAGGGGCAATACGTCATGGAGGTAAAATAGACTTATTCATGTCCAAATAAAATTGAGGGCTGGAGAGATTCCTCAGTAAATAGGCCCATTATCTCATACAACTAGCTGATCTGGACTAAATAGGCCCATTCTCTTGACAGCCCAAAAATGCTTTTCCTTCTGTTTCGAGATACTTTTGGGCTTACTCCGGAGGCCCTGATGATTTGGGCTAATCCAAGAGTACGAAGAATATCTACTGCTGTACTGTCTGCAGCAAAGAACAATAGGATACTACGGTGCCAAATAATGTTGACCGATTAGGGCTCCTCTAGAACGCCTAAATTTTATACGATTTTCATCGAAATGAATCTGATTCCCGTAAGTCCTTTGAAAATTGGAATTTCATTCGTTCCATGCAAGGCCTTACCCTGGTTTCTACCTAATTAAGCATCTGATTATTACTAGTAGTATTAGCCTAACCAAGTCTTATTGAGACTATTACACGCTTGCATGCATGTCACAGGCTCACATCTCCGGCTTCAGATTCATGCAGTGATAAGCAAATTGAACTTTTTAAATTAATTATTGCTTGCTGAAAGATCAAAGATGCGTGTACGTTGGGTATCTGACGAGGTAGGCAGGCAGGCAGGCAGGCAGGCAGGCAAGGGGTGGCTGGCTAATTTGCTTGATGCTTAGCTACGCGTGCAGATATTTCTCATCCTTAATTTAATTACTTGGCAAAGGCACCTCATAAAAAGGTTAATTTGCGTGTAAACCGCTCTTAATTAGCAGGAAATTCACAAAGCTTTTGCGTATATACTTGACTTAGCTTTAGCTAAGATCATGACTGTTTGCTTTTGGGTGACGTACACACCAACACCGTCACCCACCCCTTCACTCTACTTTAATATCTTATCTCCCTCTCACTAACATATAGTCCACTCCAATTATACATTTTTTTTCTTACATACACGAGCACTTTGCACATACATGTGTATACATCATTAATTATATATGGTTTGTATATATTGCAGATATAATTAATTAATTACAAGAGGTTTATGAAAAATCAAGATTCATTAAGCTGGAAAAAAGGGATGGTATATATGTTATTTATACATGAAAGATAATGACCAAAAATACTTACAGGGTAATTAAAGTGCAGTAACAAGCGAGCAAACAAGAGAATTTGCTACTACAGAGGAGATGAATTAACAGCTGTAATAAAAGGAAAAAAAGTATTAATTACATTTAGATCCAGACATTTCTGTCAAGGCCCTCCACTTTAACTAACCTTCTCATCCCAGTCCACCCCTCTCGGCTCAGTACACTACCAAGCTGTGTTGTTATTCACCGATGTATTTTTGCAGCCAACCCCCTCTCCTTGACTGAAATTACGTACGTAACGTGGGCTGTGTATCTACTCAACTACATGGACAGGATTGAGCTAGCGGCGGCGGCGGCGGCGGCCATGGCCGGCGGCGAGGTGGGAAGAAGCGAGCGAGCGAGCGAGAGAGAGAGAGAGAGAGAGCTAGCCGCAGAGGGCGCCGACCTCCCTGAGGCGGGGGACGAGGCGGCCGCTGAGGTGGAGGCCCATGAGGCCGTCGAGGCCGCCGACTGGGGCGCCGCCGACGAAGAGCGCCGGGACGGCGGCGGCGGCGGCCGCGGACGCCGCGGCCTCCTCGGCGGCCTCGTCGAGCTCGATGACGGTGGCGTGCGCCCCCACGGCGGCCAGGAGGCGGCGCATGACGTGGCACATGCAGCACCCCCTCCTCGCGAAGATCACCACGGGGCTCTCCCGCACCAGCCTCCCGATCCTCTCCGCCGGCTGCTCCCCTCCCGGCGGGTCGAACAGCGTCAGCCCCAGCATCCCTCCGCCGCCTCCCCCCCTCGTCGACGACGGCGCGTCCCCGGCCACCGCGCAGCTCACGCCGCCTCCTCCTTGCATGTTCTCGTCGTCCGCTGCAGCCAGAGAGAGAGAGAGTAAACGGCGGCGAGGTGTTCGACGGCGAGGGGGGAGGAGGAGGAGGGGTGGGGGAGGAGAAGGATATAAAGGAGGAGGAGGGAGAAGAGGAGGGCGCACATGGGGGGGTGGGGGAGGTGACGTCATGGGAGAGGGGTGGGGCCCAGTGGTGGCGTCACGTGGATCGACAGGCGCACCGGCCGGCAGCTAGCTTCGATGGATGGATGGATGGCTTTGATGGGGAAGACGACGATAGAGTAGAGCGAGAGGGAGGAGGCCAGGTGAAGCCATTTTGATCGCCAAAACCAACCAAAATAGCAATCAAAACGGGACTTAATTATAGCCGACAAATCATTACTAACCACTGTTCAAAACTTATTGAGTGTTCCATCATGCTTTCGGATACAACCAAAATCCTAAAATAAAGATTCATGGTGCTAAAAATTTAATTTAAAACAGATTCCATATTCAGATTCTTAGTAGTAGAAAATTACTTTCTAATAAGATAAATTATGTTTGTTTTTTTATGGGATGGAATAAGTAGTATACTTTCTCCATCCCAAAATATAAGGCTCAACCACACCTAACATAAAGAACCAGAAAAAAATTAATCACCTTAAATGGATCATATCCATACATGTAAGCAATATGATTGGGAGATGTAACGGTAGAGGATTCAATATAAACCAAATTTAAAAGCCCAATAGGTGATAATTAATATATGTATGCCTGTATGCACGTCTTATATTATGAGAAATAAAAAATATATTGTGTCTTACTACTATTTAAAATGGAGATAGTAGTAATTGTAAATTTATCCCAAAAGTAACAAAAAAAATAAAACGACGTCAACCATTTCAATAGCTACGTGTGGTCGAGTGGTGGAGTGCAACCGCGGGTAGTTGTAATCCTGTTCCCGGCGGCGAGCGGGCACACACACGTGTCATCACCGCGTGGGGGCCCACTGGATCGTCCAGCCCATCACCCGTGGTCTACTGGTCTCCCTGCTGCTTCTGCTTCACAGTGAGGTCACCCTCTCTCTTTCCGGCTGGCTGCAACGTGGGACCCACCGTCGGGGACGCACACGTGGCGGCGGCGGCGTCCGTTGACGTCGCTGTTCCGGGGCGCTGGGGTGGCCGTCCATCTCGGCCGCGCACACACGTCACACGCCCACCATGCAAACACCGCCGGGAAACCGACGGCCAGGATCGGATCTTGATCTTCTATGGCGGCCGAGCGATGGATCGAGATGGACAGTGGAATTTTTTTATTTTTTTAGACTTTTTATTTTTTTAATTTTATTAATAGACCATTTAAAAAAGTATTTTTGAAAAATAAACCTTCTAACCATGGCCACGCCAACCGTGCGTGACATAATAAAGTTATTTGACCATACCAGACGGGCTGACGTGGCCAAAGATACAGATTTGTAAATATTTTTCGAATGGACTATCAATAAACTAAAAATAAAAAAAGTCTAAACATAAAAAATTTCTCGATCATGTGGTGGTGGTCGTCGTCGTTTTGTCAGGGTGCGTATGAAGCAACGCAGGCGGTTGAAGTATCTGCCATGCACCACGCGGTTTGTAAAATCATTGTCATGATTAATATTTGTGATGAACAATTGGCTTTACAAATGATTTAATCAACGAATTGGTTTGAGAGCATGTGTGAATGTTGGTGTGAGTGCGTGACTAATGTGGGTCAGGTTGTGATATCTGTGCCCAGAAATTGTTGTTTTGTCTGATTGTGTGCAGGTGACTTGAGGTTAGCCTTGGTCAATGGTGAGGACCGGGACTATGCTCAGGGAGGAGCAGAGGTCTAGTGCGGTCAGGATACTATGTGAGAAGGTGACTAGAGTCTGGATTCTTGGAGGTCAACTTCGGTCAACGGTGGGGATTGGAACTAAACTCAGAAAGGAGTTGGGGTCCAGACGGTTAAGGATATCGTGTGACGAAGTTAGATACGAGATGGCACACGGTGGATAGACATCGTGTGAGAGAGATCTTCGCAACGGACTTCATGAGGTGTGCGTGTAAGCGTCAGTGTTTGCGAGGAGGAATGAGAAAAGATGGAGATGTACATGTACGGTGGAGTGCATGGTTGCTACAGTACTCGATGTACTGTAGCGTGTAGTTTGCCTGTGCGTGATGTGCATGTGTGCTGTGTGCATGCTGATGCATGTATGATAGTTGTACGTGTCCTGGTCGATGGCAGGCTTGATCCATGCAGAGGCAAGCCGACTCGGCTCAGGCGGCAAGCAGCAGCAGCGAGGGCAGGAGTCTGACTTGGGTGCGGCTGTGGATCCGGAGAAAAAGGAAATTGAGGTATTGAGTTCTACTGTGAATAGGAATAGGAGTTCTACACCTACTTTGAGTAGGGGGTTTTTTATGTATAAATAGAGAGGGAGCGTGAGGCTTCCCGGTATCGCTTTGAGAGCAATTGAGTTGATAGTTTAGTTAGGGTTTCGAGTTTAGTCGAGATTTTTGTAAGGAGTGCTGTTGTTGCACTTTGTAAACATAGAGAGAAGCAATAAAGTTGTCATCTATTTTGAGAGTTCTTCGATTTGTGTTTCTTCGGGTTCAAGCGGCAGGGCGGCGATCTAACCCGCGGCGTGCGAGCAGTCCGACCGGCGGCGATAGGACTACGTCGAGATTTCCATCAATTTAAGGGTAACTTTTATTTTCCGCTAAAAGTTTTTGGGTTTTTGGTTTTCCCTACCATTCACCCCCCTCTGGTAGGCTTGGTTGCTTGTGTTCGATCCTACACGCTTCACTCCATGCTTGCCTAATTATTGACTTCATTACCATCCTTCTAATTTACTTTCTCCAACTACTCCATGTTGTAGGCCGTGTTTAGATGCCAAAAAAAATTGACAAAAATATCACATCGAATCTTTGTACATATGCATGAAGTATTAAATGTGGACGAAAAAAATAATTACACAGTTTGCGTGTAAATTGCGAGAAAAATCTTTTAAACCTAATAGCGCTATGATTTGACAATGTGGTGCTACAATAAATATTTGCTAATGACGGATTAATTAGGCTCAAAAGATTCGTCTCGCAGTTTACAGGCGGAATCTGTAATTTGTTTTGTTATTAGTCTATGTTTAATACTTCAATTGTGTGTCCGTATACTTTCAAATTTTTACACCCTTTAAACTACACACCCATAATAAAAAAAATCAACAATTTCAAATTTATCATCGTATAACTCTTTGACATGTAGCTTTATTATATCTATGTATGCAAATTGAGAATATATACATGCATGCATGCAAACATTTAGGGGTAGTTAACTGCTCGTTTGTTGTGTGGAGTATATGAGGAGTTGAAGTCTACGGCCTTATTTAGATTCCGCCCCAAAATTTTTCACCCTGTCAAATCAAAATCGAATGTTTAAACACATGCATAAAGTATTAAATATATGCTAAGAAAATAAGTAATTACACAGATTGCGGCTAATTTGCGAGACGAATCTTTTAAGCCTAGTTGCTCTATGATTTGACAATGTGGTGCTACAGTAAACATTTACTAATGATGGATTAATTAGGCTTAATAAATTCGTCTCGCGGTTTACTAACGGATTCTGTAATTACTTTTTTTTACTAGTACCCAAACACCCCATGGGACACCCTATATGATACTCGAGATGTGACACATCAAAACTTTACACCTCAGGATCTAAACACCCCCTACATGCTTCTTGGTTCTTCCGTATCACATGTTCACTTTGATGCTATTTTTAACCATACCATTTTTTAAGTAAAGTTGCCAAAAAAATGTCCACGTTTAGTTTGTTGCCAAATTTGGTCAATACATAAGAAATCCTACCAAAATTTTGGTAATATTACCATCTTGCCAAATTTTTTGCATTACTAAAACTTGGTAAGGTTTATTTTAGTTATAATCTGAACATGCCCTTAATCTTGGTGAAAAAAGGTATATGATGACAGAGTACTACGTTTAATTACTTGGTCCGAGGAGGAAAAAAAAGAACATAAGTAAAATGATGTAAGCCATTAGCACATTATTAATTGAGTATTAATTATTTTAAACTTAAAAAATAATATAATTTTTAAAGCAATATTTTTTTTTAAAATAACACACCATTTAGCATTTTGGGATATTAATGTTAAGCCAAAACTGTGATAAACTGTGATAAGTGATTCAAAAAATGTTAAGCCATAAGTTATAGTACATCTATCATTATCCTACTAAATTACAATGAAAACACGACTTATATATAGAGAAAAGGAAATGATACTAGGAGTATAGTGAATCGTTTTTTTTATTGTTTTAGGTAAAGAAAACAAACAGGAAAATAGTTTAGTAGGTCAAGTGCTTTGGAAAAAATAGTTTGAGGGATTAAAATGTTTTTCTTTCAAAAAACACGACTACACGCAACAAAAAACCTAGAAAATGACTCTCTTTTTACATGCACACTCATACATTTAAATAATGATAAACAGATATATTTAAGTATATATGTATAGACCTTAGTCTACATAGATATTTTACCAACCATTCTTACAGAAAATAACCTTTTGAAATAAATAAAATTTGCTTATGATTAGCTTATTCTCCACGGAATTAATTAGCAAACCTCGCAAAGAAGAAACTTTAAGTGTGTACTACATGCTATGGTAGGTAGGAGTATATATTTGTAGGGTAACATGTAACATATGGGCCCAAACTTTAAGTGCATGTACGACACACTATTTAAATTTCAGGTATTTTACAAAAGAAGAATTAGGTACATCGTACGGAAAAACAAGATAAATGCCGGAGTACAGATGTGCACACCATGACAGCCAAGCAGGGCAAAAGATCTGGAAACAATAGAAGCAGTAGTAACTCTTATGTTGATTAAAAATCGATGGGCACTTGAGCCATCTGACATGGAAATATCTGATTCTGACGGCCAAGGCAAATGACGCTAGCTGCAGCTAAAAACATGGCCAAAGGGGCTTTTCGCCACGTCAGCCTCCTAGGGACACCGGGCCCACGCGGCCACGAGTGCGTGCCCACTTGAGAAAGCACCTGACGTGGCGTGACAGCTCGGCAAGGCCACCACCTCAACAAGGTTAAGGGATGTAAACGGTTAAAAACGGCTCGAATCAGTAGGATCGAAACGTGAAAATTCCCGACCGATCGAGCTTCATTTTTATATAAGTGGCACCATTTCCATTTCTAATGATATACAAAATTTGATTTCTCTAATTTATTTCAACATAGTAGGTTGTT